CCTGCCCTGATCTGATGTTTCCAGCACATGTAGATTATATTATGCCAAATTACTGTATTATATTACTTAGATGTATATTGCTTCTGTAAATATGTCTAATCCCTTATTTTATTTTTATTTCTACTTACATAACTTACATACATTAGTAATTAATTTGCTTAATGCTTAATTACTTTTTATATATTATTATTATTATTATTTTTATTATTTTTTTCTTTCTGTTAATACATATGTGTACTATTTGTAAGCAGTCCAGCTGCAATTGCTTTGGCAAACTGTGTCTGTCACACGACTCTGTTCCCCTTTCGGGCTCTGTCTTTACATTTATTTTGAAAGATGACGCTCGCGATTATGGTAAGGGGCGTTACATTTCCTACGAGTGCTTGCGGTGTTCGGCCAATCACAATGCACTGGGTCAGCTGGCCAATCAGAGCAGACTGCGCTTGTCGGAAGGAGGGACTTTGTAGAAAATGAAGCATTTGAGAGAGGTGGGGCATAGAGGACCTACAATAATGTACAGTATTTGAAAAATAATGTGTTTTTTGAACATTAAAGCATGTCAACATATTCTGTTACACCAAATACACAAAATAATGATCTTTAAAAAAGCATCATATGACCCCTTTAAGTGCACTTCGTTTTTACATAGGTCCACTGAGCTATTAACTACTGCAACTTGATCATTAAGGTTGTTGAAATCAAGAGCCAATTCAGTTCAGTGTGTGAATGAATCATTCAGACCAGTTTTGTGAACTGAATCAAAAACGGTCAAAGAATTACAAACGATATTACAGGCAGTGACGCGCCAAATGATACAGAGTGGGAATGCTTGCTAAAAACACACAGTGACTGTCAGTGTGAACGGGGCTAAATAGTAATGAACGCATTAGCAAGCACCACTAATAATGCTTACACAGGTACTGTGGTGGTTCCATGTTGATATGATATTCATGTTATGATATTGTACATGGAAATCCAAAAGTATTTCAAATGGTACTACCGTAACTCCAAAACTTTTTGTAAAGACAGAGAAAAGTAAAAAAGTTCAAATGAATATGTCCCGTACATTCACACATTTCACACATGCCGCGCATCCCCCGTGAAATAAGGCGTATTACCTGTCACTTGAGCTCCTGTAAACAGAGCAGCGCGGCTCAGGGACTTCAGCAGCGGCCGCTGATTAATGACTCTGCCATATGAGAACTGCTTCTGTGTTTATAAAGACTTCATTGTTACTGAAGGTCAAGATTAATGAGACACTTTATTTCACGCCACGCTATTTCATGATAGCATGGCATGGTTGACCACGCTACCTTAACCCAGAACAAATGATGACAAGGACAACTAACGCTAACTATTCAGCTTTACACAGACAGTCATGAACACTCTGCCCACTCACAGTGATCCAATGACAGGACCATTACATAAGCACACAGTTCGTGACGTCAGTGCAAAGCTACGAGACATCACTGCAGTCTCCTCAACTGAATGCACTAAACTGAATTTCACTCTCTACACCTTATTAAATTTCTCTGCTCAGAGGTAGAATTATCTGTTAATGGAGCAATAACAAATAAGAGTGCCCAGGATAAAGTTAAAATCATGTCAAATATATATTTTTATATAAGTTTATAATTAAACATGAGTATAAGGAGTTATACTGGCTTTGTATTGTCATAAAAAGATGAAATTATCTGGTATTTTAAGAGACTTATTGACCTTGACACACAGTCATGAGTGTCTGCAGGGGTCCTCTCTATGATATAATTTCCAGTTTTATATTTTTCTCCATGTTGGTTGCAGACTTTGTGTTGGAGGCCAAAGGTTTTTTTTTCACATTTTAGTAAGTAGCAAAGTAGTGATTTTCAAATAAATAATAAAAAAGTGTAAAACTACCTAATAAGGTTATCTTTTCAATAATGGTTTGCTTTTAAATAAGCATTTTTATTTATTGAGATATCATACAGTTGTATCATCCTCACATTTCTGACTTTATGTCCCCAAAAAGTTCTGATATGATATATTTATAAGTAAAAGAAAACAGTGCTTCTGTGTGTGCACGGGGTTGCACAATGTTAAGGCCCATTCACACCAAGAATGATTACTATAAAGGTATCTATATTAGCATCCGCATCTATGAACGATATTGTTCTGTTTATTATAAGCGCACGCTACAATTTCACTATATGTATGGACAAAAGTATTACGATACCTGACCATTACACCAACAGCGACTTTAATGAAATCGCATTTTATACACATTAATGTGGAACTGGTCTCCTTTTGCAGCAACAGCTTCCACTCTTCTGTGAAGGCTTTCCACTAGGTTTTGAAGTGATTCTGTGGGAATTTTTGCCCATTCATCCAGTAGTGGATTTGTGAGGACAGGCACTGATTTTGGATCAGAAGACCTGGCTCACAATCTCCATGCCAGTTTATCTCAAAGGTGTTTGATGGGGTTGAAGTCAGGGCTCTGTGTGGGGCAGTCAAGTTCAGCACAAAGTTGGAAGCATAGCATTTTCCCAAATGTCTTGGTATGCTGAAGCATTAAGAACTTCCTTTACTGGAAGTGACGGTTCGAGCCCAGGCCCTGAAAAACAGCCCCATACAATTAGACCTCCTCCACTTACAGTTGACCGTGTAAAATCTAGCATTGATGAAATTCCACAAACTGACTTATTGTGGCATCCTATCACAGTACCACACTTAAGTTCTTCAGAACGACCCATTTTTTCACAAATGTTTGTAAATGCAGGCCTTGTCCACACTAATATTTTTAGTTTGAAAACGCATCTTTTTCTCTCCGTTTTGGCCTTCCGTCCACACTGAGACAGCGTTTTTGTCATTGATAACTTGAGCTTTTTGAAAACGGTCTCCAAAGTCTATAAATTTGAAAACGCCGTTTTCGTGTTGTAGAGTGGACTGTGAAAACGAAGGTATTTAAAAACGATGACACATGTTTAGTCATGTGACACATACTGTACTAATAGATATCCATGTTTATACCGGTATTGTGCCTGTTATGTGCTACTTTCACACTGTTGCTAAAGATATGTTATTTCGTACACTCTTCATATCACAGTCCTGCAAAGATGACAGAAAATTTATTAGCGATTGCTGTTTTGTGGCAAAACATGAGGGCAGTTGCGTTTTAGATCAGACATATAATGGTGTATATGCAGCATACAGTATGCTGTTTTTTTCAGCAGGGCAGAAGAATTGCATGTAAACTTATTATGTCCGTTCCGTCTGTATCATCTCAGTGAGCTTTTATGAGGCTTTTCGCATGCGCAGGAAAGAGAATTTAATGTTTTCCGACGTTTCAATGTGGATGAGAAACTTTTGGAAAATGCTTGAATACGCTAGTGTGGACAGAGAGCATTTTGAAATAAAAACACCATTTTCAATTGTATCCAGATTAATGTAGACGTAGACACAGACTGCATGGCTAGATGCTTGATTTTATGCACCTGTGGCAATGGGTTTGATTGAAACACCTGAATTCAATAATTAAGAGGTGTGTCCAAATACCTTTGTCCAAATAGTGTATTTCTTCTGCCACTTTAAATGTTCGGGCTCTTTAAAGTCAAGTGGACTCTGACTGACAAAATCATGTAGTATATGTGGATATATATGCAAATTAGCGCAGCGCATGATTACGCACACACATAACTGTCTGACAGCTTACAGCTTGTTCATTCATTGTGTATCCGTCCTTGGATTATCCTTATCAACATTATTGGCTAATATTATTGTTTTAAATAATTGTTGTTTATGAATGGTTTTAAAAAATATTTTCGGCCTGCCAGTATGTCAGTGAATTTAAACTACTGCTTGCATTCAGAATATAGGTGTGTGTGTGTGTGCGCTTGTGTGTGTGTGTGTGTGTGTGTGTGTGTGTGTATTATTTCAAGTACAAGTGCCACTAATGTTGTGTTTTTGTAATGTTAAAGGAGTTAATGTTTAAGTATTATTGCTATTTTTTCCAGTGGTATCGACTCTGTATCGAGTATCGTGTACTTTTAGTGGTATCGGTACCGACTACTAGATTTTTGGTATCGTGACATCCCTAGTTTGGACCAGAAACTGATTCCAAAAAAGAAGAGGAAGAATGAATTATAGGGTTGTGTACAAGTCGATGTATCAGAATGGGAATGCATTTTATGCATTACTCTCAGCAACGTCGGACACGTAACAGTAATTGATATCATTAGCCTTTGGATTGACTATGTTATTAAACAGCTAATAATGTGTTGCTAATGTTACACAAATCACATTCCCATTCACCATCTCAGACAGCTATCATCTAAAAATCAATATCCTTAGGTAGAAATGCTTTGCTAATGATATGAAAAACTCCACCCTGAAAGCTGAGAGACGACCCCTGACCTCCTGTATCACTCTGAAAATCCAGAAGATGCACTTGTCAATCTCAGCATTCGTTTCCATTTCTAACATTAAACCATTCAGGATGGAGAAAAAAAATTATTTTCTGTGTTGCATTTTACACATTGGAAGAAACACACTAGGTCAAATGTTTATAGAAGACAAGAGCGGAAGGCAAGCATAGTTAACTTGTATAATAAGGTGCAGCGAGTAAAGCGCTGTTACAGAGCATGTGCATGTGGTACCTTTTCGTCATCGTCGGTGAAGAGTGCTCCATTGGGACTCTTGTTGATGGCCTGTGTGACCCCGATGACCTCTCCATCACTGTTGTGGATGGGCATGCACAGCAGAGACTTGGTTTTATATCCGGTGAGTTTATCAATCTCATCACTGAAACGATGGTCCTACAAAAGAGGACAGGAGACAGTCACTCTCAGCTGAATGGGAACACTTATAATAACTGTTAGGAGAACCCAAACTAATTAGAGGTGAAGTGTGTCATTGCTGTGCTGCTAGCGGCACTAAATAAAACTGCAAAAAACACAGAAAGTGACAGAAACATGAGAAACACTTCTTACCCTGCCTGGAGAAGAATATTTCTGGTCTCCACTGCTTTATAACACACTACCGTAAGATTGGAATAATTAAGATTTTTAAAAAAGAAGTCTCTTATTCTCACCAAGGCTGCATTTATTTGATCAAAAATACAGTAAAAGTAATATAAAAAATTATTACAATTTAAAATAACCTTTATAATATTGAAATCATATATTATTCTAATAGACTGATTTGCTGCTCAGCTATTTTCAATTATTATTGGCGTTCAATTATTAATAATGATTTTTAATATAATCATTGTTGAAAACAGTTCTTGCTGCTTAATATGTTTGTGGAAACTATAATACATTGTTGCAGAATTATTTGATGAATAGAAAGTTAAAAGAACAGCTGTTATTTGAAATAGACATCTTTTGTAACTTAATAAATGTAATGTATTTATCACTTTTCATCAATTTAACGCATACTTGCTGAACAAAAGTATTTTCTTTCTCTTTCTTTAAATTACCCAGACTTTTAAATGGTAGCGCATCACAATTTTCACATAAATATTCAGCAGCACAACTGTTTTCAACATTGATAATAATACGAAATGCTTTTTGAGCAGCAAATCAGTATATTAGAATGATTTCTGAAGGATTGTGTGACTCTGAAGACTGGAGTAATGATGCTGAAAATTCAGCTTTGATCATAGGAATAAATTACATTTTAAAATGCAGTTATTTTAAATGACTCTATTTCACAATATTACAGTTTATTATTGATCAAATAAATGCAGCCTAATTATTAATTATTCCAAACTTTTGATTGGCATTGTAGCTTAACAGTATTTTAACATTAACAAACACTAACATTAAATACATCTTAACAGATTAGTTCATGTTCAAATATACAGAAATATCATGAAACTTTTAATTACGTCTTATTCATATTTAAGTACATAATCTAAGTAGCTACAACTTATATATAATGCAATGACTTATTAATGACAGTTATTACAAAGTGTTAATATTTTTAATTAATATTAACTAATAATGTTCATGCCCATGTTTCCATCTCATGTTTGAATGGTCTCTGAAATGCTGAGTTTACTGCTATAAATAATGCAGTTTTAATGATCTGCTCCGCTTGCTAAATGAAAAGGCAAACGCAGATTGACAGACTAATTAGAGAACTGCGAGCTGGCATCATCATCATCATCATCATCATCACAGCATCAGGACTATAACTGTAGAACAGGGAGGATGAAGTTTGTCTGAGCTGATCGATTCAGTAATCAATACTCCGATACTCTCACACAACTCATTATTTCACTGAGGCCCTTTATGGATCTCAGCGAATAATCAAACCAAAACCATCACTCAGGGTCACAATAAAATACTCTCCTGTCTGTGTGACAGTCATTATCCGTTTGGGATAATGTCATGTGAGTGACCTTGCCATTGATGCAGGAGTCAACAAATGCTAATGTTTCCTAACCCTAACTGAATTTCCACGGGCCTCAAATGAGAATCATTTAAGAATCAAATACAATGCTGCTGGACAGAAAAAACAGCTTAAGGTGGTGTGCTGGTGTTAGCTGGTTTGACCAGTCTCCCGTCCTGGTGTTCAGTAGGTTTTGGTGTGGTGTCAGCTGATCTCCAAGACAGTGCCCAAAACTCCTCTAAAACCATCAAATCCAGAAACAAAATCCAGAAGAAACCACCTTTGGCCGTTTCTTTTTTTTAATCCAGTGGGATAATTATAGACTTGAGTCAGGTTAGACGCCATACTGAATTTAACACAGAAGCAAATTATGCTGTGAGGGATAGACTTGTACAATGACACGCACTGTATAAAGGTCCTAGATCACACAACTTTCAAAATTGTTTTACTACCGAAAATTTCGGAAGGATTCTTAAAGGATTAGTTTTTTTCTCCCATTAGGATGGATTCCAAATTAAAATAGACATTCCATTAGCAAATCTGTTCTCAACGAACTACGAACTGTCATTTTATTCCTGCTTCACCTGTTGTGCATCAGGAAAGATTGCTCTTTCTCCATCAAAAGTGATATCAGTCAAATTTGTTCCTTTCTATCTGACAAGTAATTATTCATATGGGAAAATGTAGTATGACTGGCTTCGCAGCAGATGCCCCAAGCTTCATCATCTTGAATCTCTATCTCATAATTTGGAAAATTGTAACAGATCAAAGTAAGAGTTCTTTGGCTATTACTTTGGTCCCTTTACAGTTGTTTTCATATAGAAATTACAATATAAATTCCATGTTCATGATCATTTGGAACAGATGTATCATAGAAATTCATCTGGCATTAGGAGGTTTTAGATGCTTTTACAAAAGTTCCTGTCTCTCATTTGACTTTAACATTACTTCAACATTAACACTTTGAATTAAAATAGGATCTTTTTTTTTATTCTGCATGACTTTAATACCTTTACATTTGATCATAAGTATAGCAGAACGTCCATCAGAATAATTCTTTAGATTTTTTTTAAACAATTATTTTATTTCTGCTTCACCTGATATGCATCAGGAGTTTCCCCATCAATAATTGTCTCTGTAAAATACTTTCCTGCCTAACTGATAATTATTTATCCAATGATCCTTTAGTTAAAATAAATAAATAAAATCATTATTTGGAACAAAAATAAATAAATACTAATAATAATAAAATAACCTGAAAAATAGGATTTTCACTTTATTCAATAGGATAAATTGATCAATCCTGTGCACATTAAGACTTTTGGACTAGAAACAATCATCTTCTGTTTCACTTAATATGTGTTGTCCTGTCTATATGATAATTAATTATCCATATGGGAAAATGTAATGTGAGTGACCTCACCATGGATCCTACTGTATGGTAACAACGTATTCCTAATCCCAGAGGAATTTCTATCATTATTTGGAAACCATCCTAAAACATTCTAAATGGCTGTAGGACTTAAAAAGAATCCTAAAAGAATTAAATAAGAAAACACAAAATCCCAAAGAAGAAAAATCATACATAGGAATTTGACTTTAAGTAAGTTCTTATTTGACTGATACTTTTATCCCTTTACAACTGTGATTCTAAACACACATCCTTGAAGGTTTTTCTTTTTCTTTCTTTCGGACAAGAAGCAATCACTTTATTCCTGCTTTCACCTGATATGCATCGGGAATGCTGACAGTTTCCCCATGTTCAGCCACATATCCAATGATGCCCTTTCCCCAGGGCACCTGCACCTCATCCGAGTTACTGAGAGAGGGCAACACTGTGGTTCCAGCATGAACGTCAAAGAACTTGGACACCAGAGTCTTTTTACTGGCCGGACCCTCCACCAGGAACAGGGAGCAGCGGTCAGCATCCACCATGATACACACAAACACCAGGATCTTGTAGCTCAGACTGGTCAAATCCAGGTCGTTGGAGATGTCTTTGACGAGCTCCAGGAAGAACTCCCTCTCGTTGTGCTCCTTCAGGTAGTATTTGTAGTCTACAGCGGTGGAGGGGTACTGAGGGATGTTGACCCGGGACTCCAGCAGCGCGGAGAGGATGTGCGCGGTGGTTGGCGGCAGAGAGCTGGCTTTACGCAGCAGCGCGCGTCTCCTCATGCTGGTCAGTGGCTCCTGGGCTCTGGAGTTAACGTGTTCGTCGTAAGTCCTGTTGGCGTTGATGGCTTTAGACCTGGCGAAGGTTTTCCTCAGCTCTTTCTGCGACGCTCGTCTCTGCAGTCCGTCGCTTCTGCTCGCCCAGCTGTCTTTGCCGCACGCGTTCGCCGCTTTCTCCGCTTCCGCGCTGGAGTTCGCCGGAGTTTTAGTGGCGTGATGGTTCTTCATCCACTTTACCACCATACTTGCCTTGCCTTTTCTGTTCAGATAGTCCTCTAATAATTCTGGGTGCTCGTCTAGAAAACTTTCAACATCGGAAAAGACCATGTTTGACCCTGCCATTGCTGCCGCGACGGTCATCTGTAAATAAAATGAGAGAGGCGCGTTTTGCACGGTCATTTATGTGAGTGCAGACTGCCCAACGTTTCATTCGCAAACTTCAAACAACAGATCCTCCGCGAGAGGAGCGGAGTTTAAGCATGTTGCGATGCTGAGCAACTCGCTCTCGTTCATTCTAAAGCAGCGCCAGTGAGATGATGATGCGACAGAGCGCTTCGCAGGTGCATCGCTGACGACACGATCACGCATCCCTCCCTCCATCCTCTTCGAAACTGGGCTGTTTTATTATACATCCTGGGTGACACTGGGAAATGGAGTCTCAATGGCTTTTCAAAACTCTCGTGATTATTGTGACGTCGCAAGCAATGCCTACATGATTGTATGCATGTATTATTTTAGATCATTACCTATATATTAGTTAAATAAGCCCTTATATTTGTGTTAGGTATGCATAAGACCACATTGCACTCTATAAAATAAAATAAAAAAAGCACTGCATATTATACTTTCTAAGCGGTTATTTTGCGCCAAACCTCTAGTATCTACTGTACAGGATCTGTTAAATTATATCACTAATTCACTATTTCCCTGTGTAAAGTTGCAGCTCCATCGTCCTCTAGTGGACAAATTGAGTTCTGCAGCTGACCAAAAGCATGACCACATCCTTGAATGTGAGGGGGTTCCTGGCGCAGACCCTCACCCATGTACTGATCTACGCGCATACTACACTTTAAAACAAATGTTGTTTTTTTTCCATTGTCATATAGAAGAAATGCCTTCTTTTCTTAGTGAGAAGAACCATTTTCCACTATAAAGAACCTTTTTTACAATGGAAAGTTTCAATTAAGGTTAAAGGTTCTTCATAGAACCACTGATATCAATGCAGAATCTGAATTTTTTAAGAGTGTAGACAGAGTTCATAAACTACATCAGCTTTCAGTGTTAACTGGGGCGAGAACTTTAGCGGCTTTCCTCATAAATAGTCATGATAGCAATCTATGTAAGCTGTCACGAAAACTAATTTTTCCCATTTCGTGATGATAAAAAATCTGGGAAACACAAAACGCATAGGGCTGAGTTATTAGTGTCTTTTTATAACTCATGCACTTATCAGATCACGTCGCCACATCACTTCACGTCTGTCGACAGTATAGTGAAGTCTCTACTTGTCATTACATCTTTCTCCTAACAGTAGGAATTTCAATCGAGATAACATACAATCTACTGGCAAGTGCAGCGCATAGGCTCAATAGATCACAATCTATCACAAACTTTAAACTAGCATTTTTTGTTTTTAAATACATAATGCCTTCAAGTCAATTTCATTACAGGTTTCCTACATATTTGTGTCGAATTCATTTACCAACCTGTCAATATTCTGATTTATGTTAGGCCGGAGTAGAACATGTGCTCTTCTCTGAATACAAAGCTTAGCTTGCATGTGGTAGTATTACACAGATCCCCGTTATCCTTCTTGAAGATTTATTGAAATCATAATGTTTTGCTATTAATCCCTGTACACACTATTTTTTAAGCCAAATGCTGGGTTCAGCCTGTTGGGTCATTTTTTTTATATATTTATTAAGAAACACTCAGTGTTAGGCGTCAAATGCCTTGTTTCAGGCAGATGAAATTAATTGAACTCCGTTTTCATCAAGCTTAATTATGATGCCTTTGTCTATTACCTTGTGTTTTGCATAGGTCTGATTCATGCTCTGCACCACTATTAAACCATTCATTCTCTACTGTGCAGGTAATGTCACAAATTAAGCATTTTAATGTGTTTTGATACTTAATTACCATATGCGTGATGTATTCTAGTAGAGTTCACCATTAGATGGGGATATTTCTACTACATTACTGTTGATTGGCCTGATCTGGGTATGAAGACCACAAGTGTGTGTAAGTCGCTTTGGATAAAAGCGTCTGATAAATGACTAAATGTAAATGTAAATGTGTGTAGAACTTTTGATTACCTGATGGGACACACTTACAACATGGTGTGTTGTGTTAACAAAGTGTTAACTAAGCTTTATTTACACATTTAGATTTTCAGTGCTTGGCATAAACTTTAGAATAAACTTCTAAATGTCTGTTTAGTAGTTCCTATGTAATGGATGACACAATTTAGTTTATGCTTCTAATTAAGTGATAAAAAGCAATTGCAAACGATGTACAAAAACACATACTCATATGTATCAATACAATGTGCAACACTTTACATTTAGGCTAATACCTAACTATTTTAGTACACTTTACACCAAAATGAATTGTGATTAAACAAGAATTCCATGAACATAAAGTGCCTGAAGTGGTATTATATATATATTTTTAGCTATGTAAAAAAAAATGTCTCCTCTTCTCCACTTTTTGCATGACTTTCAAGAGACAGACTGATAGACAGAGCTGGGTAGATTACTTGCAAATTGTAGTCTGTTACTGATTCCAAATTACATGACAAAATTGTAGTTAGTAACGTAATCCATTACATTACACATTTTAGGTACTATTATCATACAATTTCTTGGTTTCTTTTGACATGACATGAACATGAAGTGCATTAAACATTACCTTACCTCAAGGTTTCCCAAATGGGTTTAGGAAAGGAACTGTCTGCAGGGGGTTTGTGAGTTTAATGAAAAGCTAATAATTAACTAAATCATAATAATGTAAAAATAAATCATTTAAAAATGACATCAATCAAAATAAAACACTTACTAAAAAGATTAAATATTTTATTTGCTTACCTGCATGTCATTTGACCATTAACTAACGCCAGAGAACCATGAACATGCTAATGTGATACTTATTAACATATTTATTTTAAAATTTCACAGGTACTTCAATTAAATATATTAGGTGAAAGAGGTTCAGATGACAAAAATTTTGGGAATGCCTGCATTACATGTAGCCTAAATAAGTAGTAACATGAATTTGTGCATAAAAGAAAAATAAATCATTTTGACCCGCATTGTTGGCTATTGCTACAAATATACCCCAGCTACTTATGACTGGTTTTGTGGTCCAGTGTCACATATACAGTATTCCATTCATTGTTATTAACAACATGAAGTGCATTAAGCATAACATTACCACTGAATGATAATTAAAATAAAAATTAATGTGTTCGTCAGTAACTGATGCAATGTTGAAATGTTAAAAAAACTTCTTAAAATTTTGATGATTTTTGTAAATCCAGTGGTCAAATTCTGTGTGGCCTCTCAATTTATAATTATTGCCACATGAACACAAAACTGGAAGACTTTCTGAATGTATATAAGCAGTATGCTATTTCAAAAAGATAAAAAAAATTAAGATTCAGGGAGAATCAATAAATTATGAATAATTTATTGTCATTGTGTAAAAATGTAATCATGTAATCAATTATTTTAATGGCTCTAGGAAAGCATGCAATCAATCAGTCAATCAATAAATAAATAAAGATTTTTCAAAATCTAATTATTAAGACCGATTTATTAAGAACTAATTATTAATTATTGCAAAATGCAAGCCATGGGTTCATTTAATTGGTTTTTAAATGCACTGGGTTTTGATTTTCTTA